AGCACAGAGCCGGACGTGGGGCTCGAACTCACACACTGCGAGATCATGAACCAAGATGAAGTCAGTGCTTAACCGACTGAGCCACCCAGGGCCCTGGTTTTTATTTATTTTAGAGAGAGAGAGAGAGAGAGAGGGACCAAGACTTGGGGAGGGGCAGAGAGAGGGGGGGGACAGAGGATCCACAGCAGGCTCTGTACGGACACCAGAGAGCCCGATGCAGGGCTCCAACTCACGAACTGTGAGATCAGGACCTGAGCCTAAGCTGAAGGTTTAACAGACTGAGCCACCCAGGCGCCCCCCTCTGTCACTTTTCAGTACATCCTCCTGTGTTACTTCTTCAAAGCAATTCCTACAATCTGAAACAAGCTAATGTATTATCCGTCTCTGCCCTGCCCCATCCTGAATATACTATACTTGTTTGTCTTATCTGGGCTTGGCACCTTGTAAATATTCAGGAAGCGGTTGCTGAATGAACGGGTGCATAGAACAATGACAGAAAAAGGGGGGAAGGATTGTTAGAAAAAAATGAGGGGTGGGGCGCCTGGGTGGCTCAGTCTTCAGCTCAGGTCATGATTCCACAGTTCATGAGTTCGAGCCCCTCATCGGGCTCGCTGCGGTCAGTACAGAGCCCGCTTTGGATCCTCTGTCCCCCTCTCCCTCTGCCTCTCCCCCACTTGTGCTCTCTCTCTCAAAACTAAATAAATATCTATTTTTTTTCAACGGTTTTTTTTTTTCAACGTTTATTTATTTTTGGGACAGAGAGAGACAGAGCATGAACGGGCGAGGGGCAGAGAGAGAGGGAGACACAGAATCGGAAACAGGCTCCAGGCTCTGAGCCATCAGCCCAGAGCCTGACGCGGGGCTCGAACTCACGCGAGATCACGCGAGATCTCGCGAGATCGTGACCCGGCTGAAGTCGGACGCTTAACCGACTGCGCCACCCAGGCGCCCCATAAATATCTATTTTTTTAATAAAAGAAAAACAAAACACGTTTGGAGACTTGGAAGAAGAGAAACAGGGGACAGCCAGGGGGACAGCCTCTAGCATCACTCGGTGTCCTTTCCCTTCACCCGCTCACCCCACCTGCTTATGAAGCCAGCCTCGGATGTGCACCGGGAGGTTGGGGTCCCTTCTGAGTGCATTGCCTCTCTTCCCGAAGGCGTGCACCTTGCTTACTGCCCGGGTAGGCTTCTGAGGAGAGAAGGAGGACAGATGTGAATGGGGCCTTGGATGGGCTTGGGGGAGGCGGTGCATTGGGAGTCAGGCAACCCAAGACCCAACCGCAGCCGCCCTCAGAAACCACCCAAGGAGGGGACTGGATTCTGAGATCAGAATTGGATGTGCGCGTTACAGAGCTAACGGACGCTTTTAATGGGCGGACGGAGCTGTTTGGGGGAAAGGAAGAGACTACTGGCTGACGAGGAAGGAATTTGGGGATCAAGGGTCTAACTGAGCCAGAGATGTAGTGCAGTCTTTGGGATCTGAATTGGAGGTCTTGCCTGGGAGGTCCCCATAATCAAGAAAGATCTCCATGCAGAGTCCCTGGTGATGGGTCAGCTGAATGGAAGGATGTTTCAGTGCCAGGGAGCGACATCCCTGAGCAACCATGACCAGAGACAGACGGTTCCAAATCCCTCCCTCCCAATAGGAGAGGAGCCCCTTCTCCTGTCGACCCAGGCATCTCCAGCATCCATAGCCAGCGTCCCCCAGGATGCCCTGCCCTGGGGATGGCACTGAGTTGGGACTGAATCTCTAGATTCTGAGCTTGGTAAAGTCTAAATGAGTGAAGAGAATGGCAGAGGACAAGGAGATGAGTGTCACTGAACTTGGGGCTGGGGCGATGACTTGGGAGGCAACTATCTCAGCCCTCTGGAGAAAGGTCTTTTCCTTCTCGGGTTTCAGAACTGGGTAGATTGGATGCCTGGAGCTGGGACAGGGAGTTTTCAGTCCCAGTCGAGGGTAGTCACCGCCTGAATTCCTGGGGAGAGCCTCATGGCTGGGGAGTAGACTTAACTTAGCAACCAAGTCGAGCGAGATTGTGACTCTGGCTTTGAATTGGGAAAACAGGAGGGGTGGAGACAGCTGGGAGCGTCTCCAAATTCCTAGCTGGGGCTAGTGGGCAACTGGGGACCTTACTAGGTGTGGCAGATCCCATCGCTAAGGATCCTGGCTCCTAACAACAGAATCCCTTGGGTTGGCACGGAACCAGGGCTGGGAAAAAAAGAGGATGGGGCAGCCCAGAGCCCCGCCTACCTCCCCGGCCCTTCCAAGAAGCTCAAACCTTGGTGCTCAGGCTGCCCAGGGAGGAGATGGTGGAGACGCTGCTGGCCAGGCTGAGGCTGCTCCGGGGTCTGCCCTCCTCCATCAAGGGCTTGGGGAGAGAAAGAAAGGGGCTGTGTGCGTGTCTCTGCAGCTGACCCGGCTGGGGACAGAGACGGGGTCAGGGGCTCGCAGGTCGGAGGAGGCTGAGGAGAAAGAGCCTGTTGTCTGGGGACTGGGGGGCTGGGGGAGGCCCTGGCCCGGGACTGCATACCAAGAGCGATGCCAAGAGAGGTGGGCGGCATTGGCAGCTGCGGGGAGGGGGGCAGCTGTCTGCCGCCCAAGACAGGGAATAGGGGCTCCTTTATTCTTGCCCCCTGCACTCTCGCCAGGAATTTGACCCTCTCTGTGCTTAGGGAGCCCCATTCCCTGCCTCTTCGCGGCTGCCCCCAGCTACCTGTCTCCAGCCCTCCCACACGCACCCCTAGGCCATCCCTGCCAAGCCGGGACGCCAGGAATGCACACCCAGGCAGTCCCTCCCAGGCCAGCCAGGGAACTTACCAGCTCTGGGGTCCCAAGGATGGGGGTAAGAGGGCCGTGCGGGCGCTGGGGCACCCAGCTGCAGTCTCCCTCCTTTTCTGGCTCTTGGGTGCTGCCTCTCAGACCTGTCTGCCTTCTCACCTGCTCACTCGCACACTTCTTGCTTTGTGTCACTTCTGGTCCCTCTTGCCTTTAGGCTCCTAACACCTTGTCTCTGGCCCCAGCTTGTCTATTTGTCTCTAATCTGTCTCTTCCAGTCTCTCTCTGGCTCATTCTCTCCCCTGCCCGCACCCCCTCTCCCCCCCCCTCCACCAGCACTTTCTCTTCCAGTCTTTCTGTTTCTGTTCCAGATCTTTTCTTCTCTGACTCACAGAGGAGTCTCTTTTCCTTAGGTCTCCATCTCGTTCTCTCCCCCTCTCTCTCCCTCACACTCAAGCTCTTCCTCTTTCTCTTTCTCTCTCTCTCTCCGTCCCCACCGCCGCTGTTTCCTTCTCTCCCTCAGATTCCGCTTCTTTCTTCCTCCCTCTCCGTTTCTCTTTCCTCTCTGCTGGTCCGCCAGCCGCCCACGCTGCTGTCTCCCCTTCCAATCCCGGCTGACCCCGCCCCTCCCCCCCCTCCCCCCCGCCAGCCTGACCCCTGGCTCAGCTGCCCCCACCGCGAAGGGGAGGGGCTGCACCGCTGCACGCCCCCCCCCCACCCCGCCCCTGACTCCTGGGTCCCTGCTGGGCCGGATTCCTAACAGTTTGGAGAGGAGGAGCTGTGGCCTGGACTCCAGGGCCCGGGTCATTCATTGGCACCCTGAAGGGAGCTGGGATCCTGGAACTAGAGGGGGCTCAGACTTCTGGGTACCTGAAAAGGTGTGAGCCCGGAGTCAGGACTCCTGAGTTGTTCATGGAGCCGGGGATCCCGGAAGTGTGTTTTTGAGTGGACGGGTCCAGGTTTTCCAGGGAGGAGGGAGTGACCCTGGATTCTTGGGTAGTGGCTAGGGCAGGGTCAAGCGGCCACGGTCAAACATCTACCCCAGATCCAGGTGAGAATTGTGTTCTAGACTGAGGATGCCCCCCCTCGGGAGGGAGACGTGGTTCCTGGGCAGATTTGGAGGAGCAAAATTCTGGACCAGGTAGGGGGGAGGGGCCGAGGAACTGGGACTGCGTCCCTGGGCCTGGAACTTGTGGCAGGAGACCCCATTCCCATGAGGTTCAGTTGATGGTACCCAGCCGGAATTTCAGTCTGTGTATGCGTTTTGTATGAGTTTTAAGTGGGTGAAACCCAGGTGTGGAGCCTTGTGCTTGAGACCAGGAAGGAGGGGCGCCTGGGTGGCGCAGTCGGTTAAGCGTCCGACTTCAGCTCAGGTCACGATCTCGCGGTCCGTGAGTTCGAGCCCCGCGTCGGGCTCTGGGCTGATGGCTCAGAGCCTGGAGCCTGTTTCCGATTCTGTGTCTCCCTCTCTCTCTCTGCCCCTCCCCTGTTCATGCTCTGTCTCTCTCTGTCCCAAAAATAAATAAACATTAAAAAAAAAATTAAAAAAAAAAAAAAGAGAGACCAGGAAGGAGTCTGAATTTGGGGGTTAGAATCTACTCACCAGGGGCGCTTGGGTGGCTCAGTCGGCTAAGCCTCGGACTCTTGATTTCAGCCCAGGTCCGTGATCTCATGGTTCGTGGGTTCGAGCCCTGCTTGGGGCACCTCGATATGGGAATTCTCTCCTCTCTCTGCCACTCCCTCTGCTCCCAGGTGCACACTCTCTCTCGAAGTCAATAAACTTTTAAAAAACTAAAAAAAAAAAAAAAAAAAAAA